TTATTTTTGTTTCATGGATTGTGGGAATCCATTCAATACCTGGTGTTTTCTTTAGATTTTATTATGCCTTCTGCTGGGTAAATGTCATGAAAGTGCTTTTAGTGACTCTTAATCCTTTTCTTTAACCAAAATGGAAAGAGACAGCAGTTCTCATAATAAATCAGTTTGTTGACTGTTTCAAGAGAAAAAACCCTAATGAGAGTTTTCATTTTCACAGGATAGTTAATTAGAATACTATTTAAATAATGCTTATAAATGCATACATACACATACACACACACACTCCAGTAGCATATAAAATTGTATCTAACATGAAACCTAAATGTGGAGTTTAAATGAGTGTTTTAGAACAAAAATGAACAAACCATCTCTTTTGGTATGTTCTCTTTTTGATCTTTGCAGGACTATTTCACTTTAAAAAATAGATCTTTCTATTAGTTTCAATTAATACTTTCCATTTTCAGTGGTTTTCATAAGTTCAGGTTTTATAAAGAGCTAAGGGAGGGCAGATTGTGCTGGAAAATGATCAGATTCTCTTTTTATTTTTAAGTACAAAAGGTGGAAAATGACTCACAGATTTGTCGTGGGACTTAGAGACCTTCGCTGCAGAATTGAAAGCCTAGAAGTTAGTAACTGCACCCCAAGGTGTAGCGTAGTGTTAAGCTGCCAGTTATCCAGCTGGAGACCTTCAATTTTTCTTATACATTAGCAACTTGATGTCTCAACTTAAAAAAAGAAAAATCATTTGCTAAAACTTACTGGTAAAGACATATACTGCAACACTTCCTATCATTTATTACTTTTATAGGATTAATGTAAGAACCAAAAATCAAAGGTGAGCTAATGGTGAAGTCAAAACCTCTTCTCATTTTGAAAGATATTTAAATACATTTTCAAAGATTTTGCTACTGTGGATTTTAAGTGTATTTGTGGGTTAGACAAAAAAAAAGTAGACATGCTAATTTTTTTTTTGGAAACCCAGAGTTCTTTTTTTTTTTCCTTTTTTTATTGACATACAATTGATTTACAGTGTTGTGTTAGTTTCTGATGCGATTTTTATTTTTAGCTTATTTCTAGAGGAAACAGTTTTGAATAACACATTTGCAGGATTCTAATTCAAATGATTTTAAGGACAAGGCAGTATTCCTGAAGAAATGACTGGAAGTCGTGTTTGCTGTCTCTGTCATTCAGCCTGATGCCGAGCAGCTGTGCACGGTAGCAGCACAGACCTGGGGAAATGCTTGACTCCTTTTATTGTCCCAGCCATCTCTTTCCATGTTAAAACGTTCATGGCAAATTCACCCTCCATTCTTTCCCCACCACTGACTTTTTTAACATTGAAGTGAGCTTTCTATTATCTAGCAGGATTTAAAGGAAAGGAGGGAGGTTGGAGAAAGGATTCTGTCTGTTCATTATGTCCTTCCACAGCCCATTTATACATACTACAGTATATCTTACAAACTTATTTATCACCCTAATTTGTTTTCGCTCACATCATGAAGTTAGTTTGTTGTCTTCATTTGTCTATAAGATTGTACCCTTTAAATTGCTTCAAAGCACAAGCATAAAATATGATGTACAGTTTATTTATTTATTTATTGAATTGTAGTTGATTTACAAAGTTGTGTTAGTTTCTGGCATACAGCGTAGTGATTCAGTTGTATGTATACATATATATTCTTTTTCATATTCTTCCCTTCTGATTGTAGGTTATTACAAGATAGTAAATACAGTTCCCTGTGTTACAGAATACATCCTTGTTGTTCGTCTATTTTGTGTATAGTAGTTAGTATCTGCTAATCCCAAACTTCTAATTTATCCCCCCGCCTTTCCCCTTTGGTAACTGTGAGTTTGTTTTCTATGTCTGCGAGTCTCTTTTCTGTTTTATAAATAAGTTCATTTGTATCTTTAAATTTTAGATTCCACAAAGAAGTGATAGCATATGATGTTTATCTTTCTCTGACTGACATCCTTCACTTAGTATGATAATCTCTAGGTCCATCCATGTTGCTGCAAATGACAGAATTTCATTCCTTTTTATGGCTGAGTAGTATTCCATGGTATATATATACACATTTCCTTTACCCAGTCATCTGTCAGTGGACATTGAGGCTGCTTCCATGTCTTGGCTGTTGTAAATAGTGCTACCATGAATAATACACAGTTTTAATACAATGTAGTAGCTGCTAGAATTTTTCTTGTATCCACTTCTAAAACTTGACTAGTCCAAAAAGAGCATTTATTGATTTTTTTAATGAAATGCTAGGCACTAGGTGGATATAACAGAAAGCTGGGTCCCTCCTAAGCAAGGGGCAAAAGCCTGTTCTCTGGCTGCCCAGAGCAGCCATCTCCTCCCCCACCACCTCCATAGTTCAACCTTTAATTATGAAGAGATGAGGATTTGGGTTTTTTTTTCTTAAGTATGGGGAGAGAATACCCAAACTCTGATTCTATTAATGAAGAAACAGGGGCAAGGAATAGTCTCCAAAAAATATTTTTGGATATTAAAAAGAAAAGTATACATTTTTCTAAGGAAAAAAATGACACAAATGAACTTATATACAAAATAGACACAGACTCACAGACATAGAGAACAAACTTCTGGTTACCAGGGGGGAAAGGGGAGAGTGGAGCGATAAATTAGGAGTTTGGGATTTGCAGATACAAACTACTATATATAAAATAGATAAACAACAACGTCCTACAGTATAGCACAGGAAACTGTATTCAATATCTTGTAGTAGCCTATAATGAAAAAGAATATGAAAAAGATTATATCTAAAACTGAATCTCTATGCTGTACACCAGAAACTAACACAACATTGTAAACTGACTGTACTTCAGTTAAAGAAAATGTCTTTCCTTCGTTCCTTCTTAGGCCTGTATTCTCTGTAGCTGGTTCCATAGCAACATAGCAGACAGTTAGGAGGTGCCCATTGGTGACAAAGAGTCAGCTAGCTGAGCTCAGGGCCCCTAAAGATGTATGTGTTTTTGAAGATATGATTTATGTGTTTTTGAAGGTATGATTTATGTATTTGTATGATTTATAACAAGCTCATCTTGTTAGAACCCATGCTCATGATGTAAATTTCAAAAAAAAAAAATACGACCATAGTGATGACATGGAAATAAAAGCATTTTAACAGTCACCATGGAAATACTGGTTATTAGACTGTCAGTCTTTTAAAGTTAGGGGTTTTGATGATTTTTTAAAATTCTTCTATTAAATTCTGATCAATAGACACCTATAAATGCAGAGTTTTGTCTCCATAGGACATCCAGAATGGGTCGGAAGTTGAGGTTTTGGGTTAATCCGGTCAGTAGGCTCTTACCTGACAGGAGGTCTTTCAGAGTAACCTGGAGCTTTCTGTGGCCACAACTGGGGCTTCAGTATTTCTAGATTTAACTGGTCTGTTGCTATTCAGTCACTTCTGAAAGAACCACTTGATCCTAAAAGGACCCATATGGTCAACATTTATTTAACGGTTGGATGAAAACTGTTGGGTCTGGTTCCATCTGGTTTTCCCACGTAGGCATGACTCGGACATCTCATTTACAAGGCTTAGTAGTTTCCTGTGTACATGCCTCCATGTGAGCATGTCTGTGTGTGTTGCAGTTCTGTTAATTTATTCAAGCACTGTTTGGCACCTATGCTAAGCTCTGAGGATACCAAAATGGTAGAGGCATGATCCTTGATCTCTGCATATTCACAAACTGGTAGGGGGGAGGCATCTAAACAAAATCTGTATGATGTATTGTGAAGTAGGAATTGAATACCTTGAAAGTATCTAAGAAAGTTAAATCAGTGTTGTCCAAGGGTGTGACAGGGTTTAGATGGGGAAAGAACTATCCATTCCACTGGAGCATAGTGGAAAGCGCTGGATTTGGAAACAAGCATCTATTTACTGGCTTCCAGCGAGTTACTTTACTACACTGAGCCTCAGTTTTCTCATCTATAGTATGGGGTTAACAATACTCACTTTGCATCTCTTTATGTTGGGATCAGCAGATAACTCCCTTCCCTGTCTTAGGCCCTTTCAGGCCAGGCACCATGTGTGGCCAGGCAGCATGTTGTTGACTGTTGGATGGGAGGGGCAGAGAAGAGATCAGTTCTTGTGGGGTTGCATGGGGACAGGACTCCCATTCTGAATGAGAGCCAGGAAAAAGCACACCTGGGTCAGCTATTGTCTCACTCCCCCTGGGAGCTCATTTGGACAATGGATGGCTTATCTTTTCCCAGCAAAGCCTTTGCATATTTTACTGTCCTTACAAGTTGACTGAGGGACCTGGTCAGATTACCTACTGCTTCAGACTACTTTTTACTGTGAGCTTCAACCCTGGGACCAACTTGATGATTCCTCAGGGCTTGCCCTAATTCTTAAGTCACTGAAGAAGATATTTAAACGTCCCACTATCAAGTTATCTAGGATTCTTTCCCAGTTGACAAGCAAACAGTAGATGGTCATGAATAGTAAGTACTGAATACCTAATTTCTGGGGATGGTGGAGTGCTTTACTTTTTAATGAAATTTTGTATGACTGGTCAATGGACATTGTGCCCTAAGATAGCCTTTAAACATCTAAGTGATGCAGTTTGGGGAGGAGTATTGAAACAAAACATAGCTAATTACCCTTTATAATTCTTAGTGAATTTCAGTCCTCTAGCCCAATCAACCTAGGTAGAACTCTCTAATATGCCTCTTCAGTCTACCAGTGGTGATTATATCCCATAGCAATCAGTCTTTGCCTTCTGATATTTTATTGCAAAGTAACTTACCCATAACTGAGGATGCAAGTGGTAACTAACTTGCCCCCTGTCACAGCAAGAGAGACAAGACTGAAACCCCCATCTGTCTGACCCAACACCCACTGGTGGGAGGATTCCGTTTCCTGACAAAGGAAAATGCACTGGAAACAACAATTTCCCCCAATATAATGCTGGCTTGGTTATTCTGGAGAAATGATGGAGTGCCAAAGCATGCGCCCCTTTGTTTCTTCCAGGAGAGAAACCCTACAAGTGTACCTGGGAAGGCTGTACCTGGAAGTTCGCTCGTTCGGATGAACTGACAAGGCATTACCGCAAACACACGGGAGTGAAGCCATTCAAGTGCGCGGACTGTGATCGCAGCTTTTCCCGGTCAGATCACTTGGCACTGCACCGCCGGAGGCACATGCTGGTGTGAGGAAGGCTACCTGTCCAGCTGAACGTAAGAGCTGGATCTCTTAGCGGCACCCAATTCAGCAGGGCTGAATCCCCTTCACAGTGTTAACACAAAAGGGCATCACCATCCCACGATGTCTGAAACCAGAGCAGGAAAAAGGAGTGGTAACACTTCTCCTTTCGACCTGAAGGTAACCCCCATCATGACTCCCCAAGAAACGACTTCACGCTGGCCTGGGAGATCGGTGACACCCATGCTGAAGAGACAGGCATTGTTTTCCGTGCGGTGTCCTCTGCCATTTAAAGATGTTTGTAGTTTGTACATTTTCTGAGCTGTCAGACGTTTTGTTATTGATACTTTCAAGGTCGTCTACCACACATTGATGGCTAGAGCAAGACCTTTTAAATTTGGATTATTCTCCCATCATCCCACCCCTTAACCCCTTTTTACAAAAGTTTTAGTTACTGAGTGAGATAGAACACACGTCCAATCTGTTACCAGCAAGCAGCATGAAAGTAGAAAAGAAGCAGCTGTTGGAGAGGTTCCATTACCTGAAAAGAAAGGCGTGCTCAGGCAGCCCTTTCCAATAGTGATGGCAGCAACCAGATACCACCCGCGACTTGTCATTATGCCATGCCCTGGAGAAAACCGACATTGAATCCGTCATTTGTTTGTTGTTGATTGTTTTTGTTTTGTTTTGATTCTGTTTTGTTCATCTGTCCGAGCAGAGGGGCTGCGACATTTCAGTTGGAGTCTCGTCCCGCTGTCTGCCCTGGCGTGGATGGGCACAGAGCTGTTCTGTGGTTGAATAGGAAGAGCCTGTGTTAAAAAAAACTACTGCCCCACTTCAAATTGCAGTGTTCTGTCAGCTGGGCATCATCTCTTCCTACCCCTAGTATTTGATTACAAGGAATCAGGGGGAAAAAAAGCTTCCTTAGACACACTGGCACCAAGGTAAGAGGTGGGACGGCCCGGGCAAAGTCAGTGAACGTGAAAAAATCAGACAAAGCAGAGATGGAAATAATGCGCCTCTTGAGGAGAAAAGCAATAACGAATAAAAGGACTTTTCCTACAGTAACTTCACTGAGGACTCACGTTACCGATTTTCATACTTACTAAAGGGATTGTAAAAAAACACCCCAGCATTTTAGATGTCTTGGTTACATTTACAGCACTGAGGTAATCTTTCTGCTGTTTGTTGTCCTGCTTGGTTGAGTACCACGGTTAAAGATTACGCTCCCCGTTTTCTTGTTTGAAAACAGTTATTTGGTGACCAGGAAGGCCACGGAGGCAAGGCAGGGAATTAAGTCTTAGGTGAACGGGTCAATTCTCCTTGGGCCCGAGTCAGTGGGAAGGGAATGCTCCCAAGGAAAGCCTGACATGGTGCTAGTTCCCCTCTTGGAGAGCCAAGGATACGTGACTCCCCAGTGGGTTCTTCTCTACAGGTTTCACTTTCTAAGCTGTATTAAGACCCAGTGGTTCTGCAGTGATATTTGCAGGGACTTTGAACCTGCTCGTCCTGCGCTGAGGGTGAGAGGCAGTGACAGTGCCGTCAACCCCCTAAAATTATGAGCCTTTTTTGCAACTAGCAAAGTCTACAGTAAGCGAAGCAATACATCACCAGTGAGCATTCTTTCAGAAAAATTACCTTTTTTTTTTCCCCCACTAAAAGCTGGGTTTTTTCAGCTTTCTGTGGCTAAGGGGCTTGGTGAGGTTTTTTGTTACTGTTGTTAAGATTTTTTATAGCTTAGGTATAAGAAGTGGCCAGCATAGACCTTTGCAATATATTTTAATTACAAACACTTGATTTGGGGAATTGCACAAATCAACCTCACAATATAACTAGCTCATTTTGAAAGGTTTGAACATTCTGAAAAAATTTCTGGCTGCAGAATTATCCTTTCCAGGATTATCTTCTGAGTCAGATGATCTTATTCTGATGAAGCAAAAGCTATAAACATTGAAATAAGGACGATTTATGTTGGGTGGCATTGAAAGAATTTTTTTTTTTTTAATGTTCAAGCAACAACATAATGATTTTCAGGTCAAATTCTGTCTTCAAAAAGGTGTGCTCTACTTTTTCTGCCAGGTCGTAAAAATTCATGATGCAATTTCCCTCCAACAAGGGCTGAAATTCTATGGATAAATAGCTTCTTTAGCAACACAATGTACTACCCACCAAGCACTAGGCTTTTTCTTACCTACTGGAACATTTTTTATCTATACTATATGCAACTCCTACTTCTCATTGCCTGTGAGCGTTTTGAATAGAAATGCCAGTGTTGGTTACTGGTTAGTGGCGAAGAACACAGAGAGTAGCAAACACAAGAGCATGGCGAACACAGCTCTGAAATCCTCTGTGCTAGCCCTAGAACCGAGTTGGCAGGTAGTAGGTGAATCACTGAGGTGAAGGGCAGACTTGATTTAATTCTGCTTGCTCTCCTAAGAAGGGCCAGTCCTTTTCTCTGCTGAGAGATCCTGAGAGCGTTCCAGGGAGAAACGGTTTTTAGAATTCATAGAGCTGACAGGCAGTGGGAGCTTCCTGAGTGACAGCTCGATTTAAAATTAGCACAGAATGAAATGAGCTGCTTCTCTCCAATAACATAAGAAAGATTCAGGGAAGTAAGATTTTCTGCTTACCCCCAAAAGTGGAAACCCAACTAAGACAGTAAGTTTACAGATGAAACCTGTCAGCAGTGTGTCATTTCCCCCCTTTTGACACACCAGTACTTCTAAGGAGGGATCCAAGCACAAGGAGGGGATGAGTTGCTGAAACTCAGCTGGAGCTTGTCTTGGGACATAGCAAATTCTCCTTGGTGAATTTTCTACGAGTGTTTCCTCATGGAAGGGAAAGTGGTTTGGTAGAGAAGGGATTATATTTTTAAGTAAGTATATCTTCAGGCATGGACAAGCCTCCTCCATTTCATCTTCTGTCCATCCTAACCTCTTTTTAAAAGCACAGTAAATGGTGAACAACAGAAAAGGAGTAGAATCCAAAGGGCTTCTCAGTTGTTTCCAAACTAGAAGCGTTCTTTGGTTTTAAATGTGAACCTGGGTGTGTGTGCATGTTTGGGAACTCGGACACAGGTAGCTGTAATGGCTTGAGAAGCTACAGTTGACTTAACTGTATAGATTGATTTCAAGGCAGTTAATGTTATTTGAAAAGTTAATGAGGTTCAGACTTTGAGGTGTTAGTAGATCCCCTCCTCATTCCGATGGTAGGTTGTTTGAGAAAAGGTTTGTGCTTCCCCGTCCACCCACAGCCCATCCTGTCAGTTGTGTGTGGACTCTGAGAATCCTGCTTGATAGCTTGTCTTAAGTTCTATTAAGGCATTTAGACTGGAATTCCTAACGGCTTTACCATAAAGATCATACTATTACCTGGCATTACTTTTATAAAACACTATAGGACATTTATTTTCAAAGGCAATTGAATAACAATAACATAAACCACATTTTTTTTTAAAGAGCACTTTTTATTCACTTTAAAGTTTTAAGTGGGAAACAGGAAGAGGAATGTCAGGGGGAAAGAAACTTGCAAAATGCTACAGTGTTTACAAATGCCAGTTCTAGACGATTAAACAAACCATTCTCATTATGGTTCAAATTGGGAGTAGCTTAGACAAAGATTGTGTTCATCTTTATACAGTTGTTTTAACTTCAAATTGCTACTTGTGTTTTAAACATAAATATAATTCTGCACTTTGAAATCAGTTCATTAGATTGATAACATGTAAATGGATAAAGATGCAGTATTCCTTATTCTGTACTTTATTTATTATACTTACCAAAGCTGCAATTGAATAAATCCAGTGAGGTGAGGCCTTCAAGTGTATTAATACGCCTTTGTTATATTGTTACGACTGCTTAGAAATGTAGCCATGATGTTATAAAGGTGTCTTAGCATTTATAATAAGGATGGACAGACTTTAAGCAGTGTTAAGAACACCAGCATTCCTGATACATTGAGCTGTGGACTTTGTGTAAGGCGCTGAACGTGAGATAACTCTTATGAATCGTAATAGGCCCGGGAAGCCTTAACGCTCATAGTCCATAATCCGGTCTCCGATTTTGCTCCTTACTAATCAATGCCTGTAAATTTTAGGGGTAAATGTATTCTACAACTTCATTGATCAGATCTCTTCCTTCCATTTTTCTAAGGTAGTGCATCTCATTAAAACATCTCAATTTGATTTTGTTTTGCTTAGGAGAGGGGTTTGCTAAGTCATGTCTTCCATTTCTGCTTTTCCCCACACTGCCTTCCACTTACCTGTGCCGGCACTTCCCCCCGCCGCCACCCCCGATACATGCACACCTGTATACACACCTGTACATGCAGCAGCCAGTGGGCTAGTAAATATCAACAAAGAACTTTTTTAAAAGAATGAATTTGTAATAACTCATGCTGTCTAGAAATGTAAGTTATTTACCTTATTAGGGAATCAGCTTATAATGCTATATATGACTTTGCCTGCATTTTATAGTTAAGAAGTGTACATAAAAAGTTAAAATGCTATATTTTCACAGTTTCATTATAGAATAATGTCTGTTTAGCAACTCATGTCCATTGGTACTTTAAATATGTTAAATACTGTGCAACTGCAATAGAAAATCAGATTTTCATAAGAAAATGAAATAGGAGGATACTGCATCTTTAAAAAAATAGAATGAAGATATTTTACTGTATTCGTAACGTGTGATAGCGGAAAAAGTATTTTCAAACTCACAAATTTTACAAAGGTTGTAAATAGTTTGATGAAGTATGTTGGGAAAAAGAGCTTCTAGTTTTCATCACAATAAAATAAAAAAAAAAAACTTGTTCAGACATGCCTTGTATATCTTACACCCATTTAGCGATATTGCTATGGGAACTCTGTTCTGCTTTGTCAGAGAGGAGCCCTTGTGCTATCTGACAAAATGGAGTGGCCCCTTGTTTCAATTTAGCTGGAATGGTTGAGAACACAACAAGTCATTTTAAGTTGCAGACAGCTGATTCCAAACTCAGACTTGTCTTTACCTGAAGAGAGAGAAACAGCTGCCCAGGATCTTACTTGTGCTAAAAAGAAGCATCTAGCAATTGTTCTCTTTTCTCAGTTATCTTCCTCCTTAATAAGGCAGTTCTCGATCAGAAAACAACTCTACAGGTGTTGACATTTGTTGAATCCCAGAGGGAATCCTTTTAGCGGTAGCTGCGTGTTGACAAGGCGAAGTGCCACGAATACGGCCACACGTGAAATGAATCTCTGCTGGCGATAGGAATACGCTAATGCCCACTTTCAGAAATGAATTAAAAGCTAAAAGTGCCTGTCAGTAATCATTATGACCAATGAGATATTCCTATACTTTTCACATAGCAATAATTCTTCATCAGACTGGGTCTTTCCTCCACGTTTGGGAAACATTCACACTCAGAGTAAATCTATGCACGTCGTAAATTGAATCTGTTCACACACACCCTCAGAAATTATTTGGTGTGTTTTAAATATGCCTGATCTTGTTTATGTGAGCATTTCTTCACTTCATCTTTCTTACAGAATGTAAGAATGTAAATCTGAACTTTATGATTATCTTCAGCATACTCTCTGGCACATGGCAGTTATAATTTTGAGCTGAAAACTTCACTGTGATTTGCCCCAAACTTAGGAAGCACTGTGTGTGGCTCAAAAAGATTTGCTCAGTTAACAGAAGCCAGTTTGTTTAGCGAAGCACTAGAGATATTTATTTGTTAGTTTTCCTTTATTTTCTCCACTAATATCAAATGCACAAATCCATGTTTACATTTCTTCCTTTCCTTTTTTCCCTAATACTTCCTGTTCTCATCAGAGAACCACTTTGGAGTGAATACAACGCAATCACTTCTCTCTGAAAAGTCTGCTGAAGGAGAAGTGAGCCTTAGTGAGCCTAGCCTTTGACCCAGGTTTGCAGTTAGTCCTGGAAATGAACCGATTTACATTCAGAACTTCACCATACTTTTCTATCATTATTTCACTGCTGAAAGTAGAGTCATGAATAGAAATGTACAAGGAGACGATACGAATAGACAAGAGCCCTGGAAATTCTCCAGCCCCGCCATCTCAGCACATATCCACCCAAACAAGCTATTGAGGTCTATCAGTAAAATTACACTCTTTTTGGAGCCAAATACTTGGAAAGAGCAAGTTTAAAAGTATTACTATGATTAGACACTCAGGCTTTAGACAGTGAAGACTACCACGACGGACAGTGTTCTCCAGAGCCAGACCACAGGCCTGGGAAACCGTCTCCTGTTCCCTCCTCCGTGATTCAGAAAAAAGGAAAAGAAGGAAATGTACCAGGATAGGGTCTAAAATAACCAGTTAACATGTCAAAGGGAAGCTGCTGGGTTCCTTAACCTCACTCATGTCTTCTACCTGAGCTGTTTTCTGCAAGTTGTCTGAAAGTACTAAAAGGACTTGAAAGCTCAAAGATTCAGCAGACCATGAAAAGAATAGCTATTCTTTTAAGTAAACTCTTCCCGTGTGCCAAGCACTAATCAGGTGATTTTTAGACGTATGACCTCTAATCTGTACAACAGTTCTAGATTTTATGGGTGGGAAACTGAGGCACGGAGACAGTGGCTGAGTTGTCTGCAAACACAGAAATAGTGAATGGCAGAGTGGGGACGTAGACTTACCCCTGTCTGGCTCTAAAGCCTGGATTCCTTCCAGTGCATCATACTGCGTTTGTGTTCCCAGCAGCCAACTTTCTATATCTAACTCTTAAGTAGTTTTACTATGGATGTGTAGTCATCATATTTTCCAAATAAGATACAGGGACATGATACAGCACATGATTTGACAGTGGTACGTAATATTTGAACTCAGTCCTCTCCTGGAAGATCACACATGAAGGGTGATTATAAATAAACAACAACAACCAGGTGTCTCCCTGAATTTGCCATTTGCCTTCCAAATATTTGACCTGGAGATCGTAAGTCATTAAAACTCTTCTCCACTTCAGAGCATTTTAGGCAGAGCAGATTTTCGCAACTCCATGTATTTATTTGTAGGAATACCAAAAGCCTCTCCACCTCTGTAGATCTTCTAGACTATGTTTAAGTTGCATGTGAAATGTTCACCTCTGTGGAGCTAGTGGTTTGTAACAGAGCCCGCTCTTGGCTGTTGTTAAGGGGATGGCGATCACAAACATTTCGGTGATGTGCAGGAAGAGAGAACGGAAAATTCCTTTTCAGATTTCTCGCCTACCAGTGCCACCTTGGAATGTTTTAAATAGTCTTTAAAATAGTTTGTTTATAGTATTGCTGTGCATTTAATTGAGTTTTACGTAGGAAGCTGTCCAACATCAGAGAAATGGCCCTCCCCCCCTTTTCTGTGCAGAACAAGGTCCCTGACAGTATTGATTCATGCAAGTACTAATGGACTTTGAAAACATTAAGAGAATGTCATTTCACATGGGGTTTCTTTTTCTGAAAATGAGTCTCCTGAATTATGATCTTTCTCCCTGTTACTTGGCTGAGGCAAGAGATAAAACCTGTATAAACAAATTCCCTTCAACGCTGAGAGCAAGTGTTCTGGGTGCACAGCCCACCGCGGAAAAGGGCTCTCTCCTCAGTTAATTGGGTTTCACAGGCATTAATTTCTCAACAGCAAAACCGCAACCTTAAGTGAATTGAAAAGAGATGAATAGTGGAAACTGCCACATCAGGACTTTTTCTTTCTGGATTTCAGTTCCAGAAGTTTAAAATGTTTGGGACAACAGAGTTTGCCCTTTGTGCAAAGCAAGAACCAATGACTCTGTGTGAATTATTATATCCTGCTTTTTCCAAAGCAGGCTTACCGTGACTTTCACAGAGATTCATTTTTGTTGAGAAATGAGGGTGGATATGAGGGTAGAATTGGGGTCAAATTCTAGTCAAAGTGCTCAAGTACTCAAAAAATAAGATGTTTTAGGACCATACTGACATCTTCCCTTTTGGCGAATTTCATGCTCCAAAAATATAGCGTAAAACATTATAGAGAATGCTTCTGCTCTCCTTGTGTTTCTAGTTTTCCCATAGCAGACTTTTGTAATTACATACAGACTACAGTATATATTTTGTTCCTTAGACTTTATTACATTGAGTGGTATTGAACTGGGGCACTGGTGCCTATATTCAAGGCTCTTTCCTATCAGCTTGTCTGTCCACAGTTTGTTGTGTTTAAAAATTCATTTTTAAAAATCACCATCCCTTCCACCCCCACGGAATGGTGGCTGTATTGTTTTGTTCATGTCTGTGTGGGACACGTTGCATCACATGACAAACCAGCTCCCCGTGGATGTGAGAGAACCACTTACAAAACCAGCTTGAAAACATCGTCTTCTGTATTATGTCATCCTGCTTCATAACGCAATTACGTGTACCATACCATGCTCATTGGAGAAGCCAGCAAATTCATGTTTGTCCATAGAAGAATGTACTCAGAACTCTCTGTGTCGTAAAATGATGAGAACAGACCACGTTTAAGATACCCACCTGCCACTTATAATGACTTAGTTATAATTAGCAGTAGTCTAGACGTTGCTCTTGGTGTGTGGGGGTCAAGTCAAACGTCATATATTTTTGAATAACTCTCTTGGTCATATTTGAAAAAAAAATATGTGGGAATGAAGAAAAATATCATCTTTGGCCAAATCAAGCAGGCATCTTTTTCCTTTTCCTTGACCACTTAGCTCATTACACATGGTGATTGGGTTACAAGAGCTATGTAAAAATACAAAAACATCCTTTCATTTACAAAACAGTTATTCTAGGCTTGAAGCCTCTGAACAGCAAATCGAAGAGATGTGCTGCGGCTGATTCACTTTACAGATGTCTCTGTCTCTGACCCCAGAGAGTTAGAACGCCCCAAGGAGGTCCTACGCACTAAAGGATAACCCCCCGCCCCCAATGATGCTGGCAAGCAAATGTGTTAATTTCTTAAATCTTCCTTTGGTTTTCTGTTCAGAGTTTTAATTGCAAATGAATTTATTTCTCCAGCTTATCTAAAGATCTAATTCCCTAATAGTTTCCTCTGCATTTATATACTCTGTAGTGTTTAGGCAACCCCTGTTATAAGTTTATTAATATTATGTAAGTGTTGTTCTTGTATTTATGTATAGTGTATGTATTGTAAATATACTCAGAGCTTTTTTCCTTTTACTGTAAAATGGTGATTTTTTTTTGCCCTATGATAATGTAAAGGGAGACCCTCCTAATGAGATTCTCTCAGAGGATGATTATTCCAGTCTATTCTCAGAGATTTAAATGAACAAGTGTTATCGTTTTTAATGGTGTCTCAGACATATTCTGTTGGTGCATTGCTTTTCTGTATTCAACTTTCCTATGAATTGAGCTGTGAACCGAAATAGAGTTTAAACCTTTAACTGTATGCATTTGTATAATTATCTGAATGAAGGCATGAAGGTTAAATAAAGCATTTTGTATGGAACGAAACTCCCTAATTATTACTAAGGCTGATTCAGACACTTTGGAAATCATAGTTATTAACCATCCTAATTAAACCTTTGTTATGAAAAGTTTTACCATTTGTGTATAGTAATTTAAAACACAGAAACAAGATAGACTCTATACTAAAAAATGAACAGGATTTTTATTTCATAACAACCAGGGCCTAAAGAGGGATTCCTAGTAATATATTTTTATTGAAATTTAATCAGTTACAATGTGTATAGCGTAATGTCCCAGTCATGCATGTATATAAAACATTTATTCATTTTCATATTCTTTTTCATTAAAGGTTATTATAAGATATTGAATGTAGTTCCCTGTGCTATACAGAGGAAATTTGTTTTTTATCTGTTTTTATATATAGTGGTTAACCTTTGCAAATCTCAAACTCCCAAATTTATCCCTCCCCACCCCCTTTCCCCCCAGTAACCATACAATTATTTACTATGTCTGTGAGTCTTTCTGTTTTGTAGATGAGTTCATTATTGTCCTCTTATTCTTTTCTTTTTTTTCTTTTTAGGATTCTACATATGAGTGATATCATGTGGTATTTTTCTTTCTCTTTCTGTCTTACTTCACTTAGAATGAAGATCTCCAGGTCCATCCATGTTGCTGCAAATGGCATTATTCTTTTTATTGCTGAGTAGTATTCTATTGTATAAATATACCACAATTTCTTTATCCAGTCACCTGTTGATGGACATTTAGGTTGCTTCTGTCTTGGCTGTTGTAAATAGTGCTGCTGTGAACATTGGGGTGCATGTGTCTTTTCAAATTGGAGTTCCCTCTGGATATATGCCCAGGAATGGGATTGCTGGATTATATGGTAAGTCTATTTTTAGTTTTGTAAGGAATCTCCATATTATTTTCCATAATGGCTGCACCAAAATACATTCCCACCAACAGTGTAGGAGGGCAGATAATCCTAAAATTTATATGGAATCACAAAAGACCCAGAATTGCCAAAGCAATACTGAAGAAAAAGAATAAAGCTGGAGGAATAACCCTTCCAGACTTCAGACAATATTACAGAGCTGCAGTAATCAAAACAGCATGATATTGGCATAAAAACAGACAACCTGGACCAATGGAACAGAATAAGGAGACCGGAAATGAACCCACAGACCTACAGTCAAGTAACCTAATAATATTTTAATGAATGTAAAATGAAAAAGTGGTCCAGGAATATGAAGTGATATGAAAAAAATTTTTTTCAGAGCCTAAGATTGAATCTCTATAGTTGAATGAATTATCATTTTTTTCAGACTTGGTGTATCATTTAAGTGTAGAATGATCCATGCCAAGGTGAGTTTATTTCTGTAAATTTTTAAGAAAACTGGATTATAAGGCTTTTGATAATAAGACCATTAGTGAGTAGAGTATTTTTTAAATAATTGCTAGAAAAGCACTTGAAAAATCTTTTTAAATATCTTCTTCTTAGTGTCCTTCAATTGAAAGCCTTCTAGAAAAATCCATTCTACAATGAGAATCGTCATAAATACTATGAACAATTATATAGAATGGTGATGGATGATAGATGATAATTAAAATATTAGAGTGCTTCCTGGATGCCAGGCAATGTTTTAAGTATTATTTTGTTCCCTTTATTCATTACAAAAATCCTGAGTTAGGTTCTGTTATTATTCTAACTTCACAGATGAAAACATAAGGTACTGAGTTTAGGCAACTTTCCCAGGATTGGTGTCTTTAGCCACTAAAGGCTTATGAGTTAAGAGGATGGAGAAAGAATGGAAGATGGAAAGCAGGGGTCGAGGCAGGAGAAGGAATAAGTAGCCATGAACATCACAGAAATATTTAACAAATACATTTGATTATGTATGTGCAAATAAGTAGAGCTAAATCCAATAAATACTGTTCTTCATTTCATACTTGGCAACCCATACTGGAGTTTAATAACTCATAAAAATCAGAGACTGAAATTGATTTGTCACTTTATAACTGATTCAGATCCATTCATAAATGAACACTGAGTTGTGTGAAATCACTGTGATCACGAGGGCCACACATTACACCTCACTCCTGTCCAGGCGCTCCTTCCACGTAGGTTGGGAGGCTCCGTGTACTGTTCCTTTGACTTTCCCAAACTTGGTGGCTTTGAGCCCTCTGATGGGGTCCCAGGAGGAGTGGTTCCCTCTCCCAGTGCAAGCTTCCCTGGAACTTCTGTGGCGATCACAAGGTCAGTTTTCCAGAAGAAATCACTCACTAAAGGAATGTAAGTTTCTTTGAAAATGGAGGCAGTACATACGACATTTTTTGCTAAACACTCTGTGAAGACCTTAGTTGTGCCATGTTAGAAATATTCCATTCAGGCAGAAGCCAGTACATTAGAATCGTCTATCTTGTCCTACACTCAACTGCAGCGTGGTAGTAACTTGTAATGCTGAAACTGGTTCATCGTTACTTCATTTGGGGATACAACTTTGTAACCAAATGGTAAGTTGGACTTTAGCTTATGTCTTTGGCCTGATTTTCTGAAAGTTTTCTCTAGGCCACATAAATTGTTAATCCCACTCCAGCTGTGTTCTTGTTTGTTTTTCAGTCCATGCCGGGAGACTTTGCTGTAAGCATAGACCAGTGAGGCAAATCTCATGGAATAGATCACCTGATACTCATCTACTCTCAAGGTAACTTATTTGTCAGTGTGTCTTCCACCAAGTCATTCCTGGATACTTCCACAATGGGTGAAATTATATGGGTGCTCGATAATCTCCGAACTCCCTCAACTCTCACCTTTACTCTAGATGATTGGCCATAGGTGAGATTTGTAATCTAAACATTGATGGTTTCATTGTTTCCCATTCTCTCCCAGTCAATGACTACAAAGCAACAACATGAACTAGTTAAAAATACAGAAACAGCAACATGATTAAGATTAGATTACCTTAGGGCTTTATCAAAAAAAGAAAACTATTTCAGTGCTAGAACAAAATCACACTCCCTAAATAATTATTTCAGTCCCAATGGCCACTGATGGCTTTCATACCATGTAGTGCATTGTCTTCCCACCAAAGTGCATGAGTCCCTTCAACACAATTAGTTCCTTGTGCATTGTCCAAGTGCTCTCTGGATTTAATACATTTCTCTCCTAGCAATGTAATAAGTACAATTTACATCACTTCCCTGTTTAGTCTAAATTCACCAATGAACGCCTACACGGCCCCTACCCTTGAATGATTGTCTATTTCTGAAATAAATTCCATTTTCTTGTACAGGGACAACTTTTACACGATCTTTGTCTTTTATAGTTTCACTGCATTAAATTCACATGCACGTGCGTGTGTGACTCAGATTTATAAGGCCATGATGACACCAGCAACATCAGACTTGAGCAGGTATGCTAAAAACAGGTTCGCTTGAGAATGCCGCAGAATTGCTTAAAAATGTGTCTAGCCAAAACGATGCCCCCTTTTATTATAGCTACAGCGTACACGTGTATACCATATCCATTACCTTGGAGAAGATTGCAGGGTGCTGCACATCTGTGCTATGAGCAACTTCGATGTCCAGGTCCCTTGGAGCTTTTAGACTGTACCAAAGGTTCAGGTCAGTTCAAACATCTCAAGGGTGGTCTTGCTGTGCCCTGGACTCCTCCCAACTCTTCCGCTTGATCGTAGACCAATGCACAATATAGATGTGGTCATGAAGGGTTAGTATGACTCATCAGCCTCAGAATCCTTAAAGCTTACACCAGTGTGGCCAGTACATTCCATTGCTCAGCTAAGCAACGTGTGGACCCTGCTTCACCTTTCATTGCTAACTTGGAGCCACTGCTTTGTAATAGGTTCAGCATGAATCCACACAGTCACCTGGCCATTGATGTTGATTCTTTTGTAATATATATATAAAACAATATTATGTATCTTAGGTAAGAACTTAAATTATATTTGATATGTCTAAAACATAGGGGAATAGCTAGGAGATTTCACAAAGTTTATTTATTCAACCACTCACAGCAAGTCAATGTTACCATGGTTACTAGTAAACAGTTTTACATGCATAAAATAAGGAAGAGCACACATTTGATTTATTACTCTTTGTAGGTATTACACTAATCCATATGGGATATAAAAATTGTACCTCAGACATAATCCCTGACTGAAATGAGGTTACAGCCTATTGGAGTAGATAAATACACGGTTTCTGTAGTTAAAAAATATAAATGGATGAGCATCACCAGAACTGGCTGCAGTGCTGTGAAAGTTTAAATGTAGAGAGAATAGCTTCTGTGATGCAGGCAATCGGCGGGGCCTCCATGTCCCCTGAGAGCTAGCCATATTGTATGCAGTTGCTCAGATCCCTAAGTCCATGCCCAGGGAAAGACCAAAGCCCTCGCCAGGATTTCTGTGAACTTGGAGGGCACGTGCAGCACTGGGGTCTGGGAGACAAGGCTGCTTGCATTATCACTGTGGCCTCGCTCTCTTGGATTGTGTATCATTTCAAGTTCTGAAACGTGCTGTCTCTGTTTTCTGACTTGTCAGCCGCTTCTTTGGTTTACTACACACGTGTGCGTGCATGTGCGCACACATGCATGTGAATTGTACACTCATTGTTTGCAGACTGAAGTTTTGTGATTCATTACTGGCAGTGAAATCCATTTAGTGGCTCAAGATGAATATTTTCAAGAATTAAATAAAGAATGGAATGGAATGGGATGGTATAGGACAGGACAGAATGGAGTGGAATGGAACGGAAGAAAAGGGAAGAGAAGAAAAAGCAGAGGAGATAAAGGGTCGGTTTTGTTTCAGTTATGTACACAAGGGCATGTGTGTAACAAGGCACAGTGTAAAAAAAGTTTGAAAGCCTCTAGCTGACTGGTCTCTCCTTTTTCCCTACCCAACATCTCCCGTGGCACATCCAGGTGCAGTAATTTCTCACACTGAGCCATGTATCCATTGTGGTGGTTAATTTTATGTGTCAGCTTGATTGGGCCGTGGTGCCCAGATATTTGGTCTAACGTTA